TTTTCAATCTTAAACAAGGATTAAAGATGCTAATCCTTTTATCTCAAGTCCCTAAATGAAGCTAATTTGGGTTTTCCCCGAAAACAGGGGTCAAAACAACAGTTTCAGGCCAAATAGGGTAAAACCCCGTGTACACCGGTCGACCGGTGATAGAGAAGTGCATCACCACCGGTCGGCCGGTGGTGTGCATCCGGTCGACCGGACCGGTCGGCCGGTGGCCATAACAAGATCCGGTCGACCGATGCGGTCGACCGATGGAGAACGCCAGTTCGCGAAAACTTGCGGAAATCAGTTCAAAAACCTGCAAATCCAGTCGCAATTCACAAAATCTCAAGGGACAACCACTAGATCCGGGTTCTAGGTACTAAAACAAGTCCAAAGAACCCAAGATCTCCAATTTCTATCCTAGTTTTACTCAAAATCCATCAAAATCCGTTTTGAACCAAAAATAAGTTTTGAAATCCGAAAAACATAGATTCAAGAGAGGTTCTTTCAGTAATCTTACCTCGAATCCTTCTCTTGACGTTGAAAACTCTTTGAAATCACTCTTGGTTCGAATCCGGTTTTGATTTGAGACACAAATGGGAGAGAGAGAGTGAGAGAGAGAGCACGGAAGTGTGTGAGAGAGAGAGAGGGAGAGAAACGCACGGGAAAGAAAAAGAAAAGGAAGGAAAAGAAAGGAAAAATAAAAAGAAAAGAAAAGAAAAGAAAAATAAAAGAAAGTGACATGTATAAAATATAACAGTCCAGAAATGTGCCCATACACACTTCTAGATTAAATAAATTACTGTGAATAATTTAAATACCTTGGAATTATTTAAACTCAATTAATTAAATCAGATTAGGCACACTAATAATCTCAATTACCTTAATTAATCTCAATTAGTTCTTCAGGGTGTTACAGTTATTCTTTTTATAATGATTAATTACTAATTATCAATTATTAATTATTATTGATTAGTATATTACATATTAATAATTATAATTTAATATTAGTTATTAATTGAGTAATTACTATTTATTCTTTATTTAACAACTATTTACTAATTAATAGATTATAATTAACATAATATTTGATTGATATATTAATTAATTATTATATATTTAATAACCTATTATTACTTGTTTTATTGTTAATATGTTATATAATTAATTTTTAGCAATTAATCTTTAGCTAAATAATTAATTACTATATTATTTATTATTTTATGAATAAAATTAAAACTTAATAGTAATACATTAATATTTAATTAATAATTAAGTAATTACTATCTATTTATTAGGTATTAAGTACATCTATTTATTAATTATTAATTAATATATAATATAATTAATAATTAATAATTAATTATTTAATATAACTTTGTTGACAAGTACTAGAAAGTGAAAACGAAAAAGGAAAAATAACTTTTAATCTTTTTCTACTTTCTTCACAAAAATCATTCTCATAATACGATTTGCAGACCATTTTCATTTTTGTGCGTCAAAAGACGTGCAGAAACATTTTTTAAAACAATTCCAAACACACCTCCCGTTTGTTTAGCAAATGGTTTGAAAACAAAAACGAAAACAAAAAAAATAATGAAAATGGTTTTTTTGAAGAAAGTTAGAATATGATTAAAAGTTTTTTTTCCTTTTTCATTTTCATTTTCTAGAATAATTAAATATTAAATATTATTATTATTATTATTAATTTATTAAATAGTAATAGTAATTAATTATTTAGTTAAGGATTAATTGCTAAAAATTGATTATATAGTATATTTATAATATAATAATTAATAATAGGTTATTAAATAAATAACTAATTATTAATATATCAATCGTATATATTAATTATAATCTATTAATTAGTAAATAGTTGATAAATAAAAAATAGTAATTACTCAATTAATAATCAATATTAAATTATATAATAAATTGTAATATACTAATCAATTGTAATTAATAATTGATAATTAGCAATTCATAGTTATTTAAAGAATAATGATAAAAAATTGATCATGCAATATATCAAATAATAGATTATTAAATAAATGTTAGTAACTAATTAACTAATTATTTAATTATGTAACTAAAACTTAATTATTTAAATACTAAATAGAATATTAATATATTATTTATATACTAATTATTTTTTCTTAATACACTTATTAATTACTTATAAACTAATAAATACGAGTAACTAACATAGTAATTACTTATAACTGATTATTAATTACTATTTTTTAATTATTTAGCATACTAATTCATTATATATATAGTTTAATTACCAATGTAATCATTAATTACAATATATCCATTATTATTGTATTATTAATATATTAATTTTTATTTGCTAAGTGAATATCAATTATTAATTACTTAATATATTAATTTAACATTATTAATTACATGTACTCGAAACAAAATTTCATAAATATAACCAAACACGATTTTATTTTTTCCTATACTCAAAATAATATCTTAAAATACTAACCAAATGCAATTTTAGAATCGGTCCCAAAAGTATTTTGAAAACAATCTCATTTTCACTTTTGTACTGAAAACAAAATCATTTTAAAAACATTACCAAATGGCCCCCAAATAATTGTATGCCTTTTTTCCGACTAGATCGCAATGATGAAACATGACACTCGAAATTTATGGATGGCATATCGCTTTTCACAACTATTTTCACCCACAAATAAGGGAGCTTCTCTAAGACCAATAAAAATAAATTATCGATAGTTTTATGCTTTTTAACCATTTAATTTGTAGCAAAAATTGTTTATTTTACATATTTTTTTTAATCTGATACGATTTTAACTAATGGTTAAAAAATTAGTCCTGCCGGTATGGTTGCCTAAAAAAAGTTCCCCATAAATAAATCCTTCAGGGGACCAAAGTTTCTATTTTCTTTTTAAATTATATTATTTATTTTCTTTCTCATATTACCCCGACAAAGTTAAAATTAAAATCAATATTCTTATTGTGCCGTCCGCATAGATGTTTCCAAAGAAAAAACGACGCATTGTCTAAATATAAAATACTGGATGGATACTGACGCTTATGTCAGTTGACATAAATTTCCATTGTTTATCTTATAATTATAAAGCAATTTTGTTACGCTGTGTTATACTCACCAAAAAAGGGGGAAAACATAAAAAATAAGGATGGCATTTTGTCTTTGTGGGCACGAGGTGTGAGAATTAAGGCCCCGTTCATTTTATCGATTGGAGTTTATAATTCAAATTTTGTTACAGTAAACAATTCTCTAAAACAGTCACATCTAATTTTTTTGTCACGGTAAAAAGCTCTCACATAAAATCGCATCTCAACTCAAATCAGCGAACTAAACGAGCCCTAAATAGAAATAAGGACGGGGACAAGGATGCCCCGACCCTCATACCGCATCTTTTTAGGTGGATTTAAAGGCGAGAATAGGAAAATTTTCAACTAAATAGGGTAAACATTTTTGGGTCGTGCCTCGTACCGATGTCATATCTAATCTAATAATAGTACTAAAGAAACACCAACAATGTAAAATGTCAACTCCTTCAAGAACCTTTAAATGCAATAATAACGAAACTCTACCATCACATATTGAGCATATTATTTACTTTCATCTTTTCATCTCAGGTGTTGACAAATTGTAGTGAGATAAGAAAGAGCACACACGAATTGAGGGAGAAAAATTCATCAGTGCGTGGCTTTGACTCTTGACTGGACGACTTGCTTTGTCACCTTCTATACGACCTTTGATTATTCAAAAAATAATAAAAAAATACTAGATTTTCAAATTGTTCAATACAGACAGCCGGCGACGTACTAACCCTTTAATATTTTAATACCAAAAAAGACCATTTCAAATTGAGATCACTAATCTCTCTTTTCTATTCCTAAATCCTAACCAACCCCATTAAAGCAAAATGGAAACTTTCTTCCATAGAAGCCACTATAAATATCAAATTCCCAAAGCTTAATGCAATACCAATTTGCATTAAATCCAAAGCCTTCTCTTACAACTTTCCTTGTAAACTAAAAAACAAAACAAAAAAATTACAAGTTTAGGGTTATTGTACTAATTAGGAAATCACGAGCTCGACCATGAGATCGTCTAGCCATGTTTTGCAGGGTCCAAGGCCTACGCCTCTGACAATAAGCAGGAGTTCCGCAAAGATTACGAAGATTAAGCAGCGTGCCCCGCCGCCCATCGTGGTTTATCTCCGGTCGCCAAAGATCATCCACGTGCGGCCTGAGGAGTTCATGAGCCTTGTTCAGCAACTCACTGGAAACCATCCGAAAATTTCAGCCTCCAGTGCTACTAGAAATATTGAGGGCCAAAACAAGTTTTATGGAGAGGAATTTACTTCACGTGTTAATGAAGTGTCCAAAAGAATGTCCTCTTCGGGGTTTGATCATCATGATTATTCTTCTGGTTATTCTTTAGACATTCACATGTGCTAGATTTCTTTTTTCAGCCAAAAAAAAAAAAAAAAAAACATGGTATTACTGTCAATGTACTATTATTAAAGTCTCATGGTTAGTTTTAATTGTTATGGTTAGGATATTTTGATTACATATTATTAGTGTTTTTTGATATAACATTTTTAATTATTAGCTGTTGTTCATCAGATTATCCATTAATTTTGTGCTTCTTTTTTCCATTTAAACTAATGGGAGGAATTGTCAGGAAATGATAGTACATCTAACCTATTTTAGTTTACGCCTAAGTTTATGCGTGTGCAAGTGAAAGGAAATATTTTAGCTTTTGATCATTTCTTATTTCTAGTGGCATTTTCTGAGTATACCTACTACTCGACGTAAGCTTTTTTTAGCTTTTACCACGTTAGACCTACATGAGACTGATTCGGGCATGCCTTACTAGTCTTCGGCCCCAGTTGCCGGCCATATCCGCCTACGCGGGGGGGAGCACGGAGAGCCCCCCACTCAAGAGCGGCAATCACGGAGCCTATGGAGCCGGGGGGACCATACACATGGGAGTGAATTATTTATGAAAAAGTTTTAGCTTAATTTACACATATTGTATAGGTAAAATAAACAGACTTCAAAAGTGGCACTCAATCTAATTTATTAGGGGTGTTCGTCCTCAGTTTGATCAGTTTTGTTTTATAAACTAGTGACTAAAGTAAAAATAATTATTTCTTTTAGATGGTTTGGGCGATTTGATATTTTTGACAAAAACCAAATCAAATCAAATTACTCATAAGCAGTTTGAGTTTAAGACTATTAAAGTTTTTAATAATTCACAAAAGTTAGAAAATCATTAATACATGAAAATAAAAATAAGATTCAAATTTACAACAAAATTCAAAAATAACAAACATCTATAATTCACCATTCAAAGTTTTAATACAAATCAATAAAAATGTGGTATGGTGTACTTTATAATTGTAGAACCTCTATTATGACAAATAAAAATAAAATAAAGAAAAAATATATTTAAAAATAAAAAATTGTATATGCGTATTTTTGGACAGTTTAGGGAGTCCAAACCACTAATCAAAAAGACTAAAAAACTAACCAAATCACTTAATAATCTAAAAATTATTAGCAATTTAGTTCGATTTGATTTGGATTAAACGATTTGGGCAGTTTGGCGGATTTTGAACACCCCTTTAATTTACTTCACCGAATTGATAAAAATTTTCCCACTTTCTTGGGTTGTTCTTTTGAAGTGTAACTTGAGTGTAGTTTTTGAGTTGAATTTGAGTTATAACTTGAGTTGAAATTGTAACTTGAATAAAGTTGAAACTTAAAAGAACGTAAACTTGAATAAAGTTGAAACTCAAGTTGTCTTTTTTTGAGTTTTTCGGACAAAAAAACATGCCCTTAGTTTCCTCACCTCAAAAGTTAGCAATTCCAAAATTTAAAAAAAAAAAAAACAAAAAAAAAAACACAATTTATAAAGTTCTGATTATACCCCAAGTTTTACTTTTAAGTAATATTTTTAACATTACTTTTAAAATTCGAAATAGACTAAATTCCAATTATACTATTGTTTAAGTTTATAGTTTTTCGTACGCGCGCTTTATACTTTAAAAGATGAATTCGATTAGATTATAAACGTTTAGTTCATTTGTAAAAAGGAAATAAAAAAGATACAGCCACACACATATGAAGAATGACGAATATGGGGGAAAAAAAAAAAAAAAAAAGCTTTATTAGTATTTTTTATTTAAAATTTTGATTCATTTTACGACCACCTGAAAAACCATGCCTTTACCATAGGAGTGGTTTTATAATACAAACTTAGTACACGAACATAAATTTTGTGGTCGTGTTTGCATATTGTTTTCCTTTTCTCTTATTCATGTGTTTAATTGCTAAAATTAGGAATGAAATTCTAGTTCTTTAGAGTTTTTTTTTTCTTTTTTTTTCTTAGTTATAGCTAGTGTTGGAACTCCCACCGGCCCGAAGGCCGAATTTTTCAGGCTTGGGTAGGCTGGCCCAATTGCCGGCCCGTCCAAGCTTTATTTTCGGGCTCGGGCAGCCCGAATTTAGAATTAACGCCGGAGTTCGCCGCCGTGTAGTCGCCGTTTACCGCTGTTCGCTGGAAATTTTTTGAATTTTTCCGACCAAGCCCGAATTGCCCGACCCGAATAATGCATGAAAAATGGTCAAATTTTGACCGTTGGAGCCTGACCCGAAAACCCGAAATGCCCGAGTGCCCGAAAATGCCCGAATGCCCAATTTACCCGTCCAATGACTAGTGTTTTGAATTTCGGCCCTATTTTCTACCCGAACCCGCCCGAAAACCCGAATGCCTGAGGTGCCCGAATTACCTATCCAACGGCTAGTTTTTTGAATTTCCGCCCGAATTCTGCCCGAACCCGACCCACCGAATCAAATGTAGCCGTTGCATCCCAATTTTTTTGAAAAAAATATCAATTTTTTAACCCCAAAATTTCCCTATAAATACCCCCCATCCCCCACACATTTTTTCTCACACAAACTCTCTTAATCCCTCTCAATTTCTCTCAATCTCTCTCAATTTCTCTCAATCTCTCTCATAATTTTTCTAAAAACTATCACATTATCCTAAAGCTCTCTCTCTCTCTCAAATCACTCTTATATTTTTATAATGGATCCTTTTGGTTATAGTGATATTCTCGTTGATGCCCAACACAACGTAGAAGAAGGGCAATTTCTCACTAATGAGTTTGTTAGGCAAGAATCTACTAATCCGAGCCTTGGTGGATGTACTGGAGGTCGTGGTCGCAATAGTGGTAGGCGTGGAGAAGCGGCGAGTGCAAGTGCGACTGCATCTGCGTCGGCAAGTGTTGCAACCTCCAGGAGGAAATGCAAGCGTACCTCGATAGTTTGGGATCACTTCGACATAATTGACGAGATGGACAATGAAGGTAACACTAAACATATAGCTCAGTGTAAATATTGTTTATCTAAATTATAAGGTGACACTATTCATGGCACTACACACTTGAGACGACACTCCGAAAAGTGTCTTCAAAAGCTTAGCCAATCCGGCAGACCCGAACTCCGTCAAACACAATTATCTTTTGATCGCGCAATCGGTGGTCTAACCACTTGGAAATACGATCCACAAGAAGATCGTATGTAAGTTGCGTGAATGATAGCTGGTTTAGATCAACCACTTAGTTTTGTAGAGCATCCTAATTGACAACGATATATTAAGGTTGTACATAATCCTAATGCACAGTTCACTTCAAAAACTACTCTTAGGAAAGATTTATTAAAATTGTTTAAAAAAAAAAGAAACATTAATAAACCTTTTACACTCGACTAGCGAGTGCGTTGCGTTAACGTCAGATATTTGGTCTGCCGTTGCCAATAAAGATTATTTAGCTGTAACCATACATTACTTTAAAGGATTTGATTTAGATAAGAGAATATTAGGTTTTAAATGTGTTCTAGGATCACATAGCGCAGATTTAATATATAATATAATTTTAAATGTAATTGATGAATTTAGTGTTGGGAATGGTGTCCTAGAAGCATAAGATGTAATAGGATATTTATTATTTATTTAATAAAAGAGTTTATTCATTATTTTATGTGCATATATTTATGAATATCAATAAAAATTCCATGATTATTTATGTAACCTTAAAACATTATATATAAGTGTTATATACGAGAGGATAATGTTTAAGGATAATAATCAAAAA